TGGCTTCACTGAATTACGCAAGCCCCTTCGCCACGACAAGGCAGTGATCCATGAAGGGGTTTTTAATTCTACTTAAAGGTGAATGTGCAGAAAGAGATAGTAAAACATATGCTGTCAATGTAAATAAGACACAATATACAGATACAGGATGGCATCAATAATGTTGATATTTTTATTTTAAAGCAACCGTGGGCCATTATTTACTAAAAGTTGACTGATATTGCAATAGACATTTAAAACTGATCAGTGATTTTGAATAAGCTTCATAGTAATTCAGATGTCTTGTAGGACTGCCTCTCCCTGAGGGTATCGGCCCGTCCTACTAGGTTAGATAGGGTGGGTGCACTCCAGGTCCCCTCCCTTAAATGTTGCCATCTGATGGTACCTCAGAGGCACTTCTCAGTGGCCATCACAGCCCTTTGGAACAGCCTCCCATCAGAGATTAGAGGGATCCCTACCCTTTTAGCCTTCTGGAGAGCTGTGAAGACCTGGCTCTTCCTCCAAGCATTGGGTTAGGATGGGGGCTGAGCTGTGAGGATGTCTGGTCTGGTGCCTGGGGGGAAGGGTACCTTTGTTTTTAACTATGTTTTATGGATTATTATGAGCTGCCTAGAGTGATTGTGTGAGATAGGTGGCCATATAAATCCTGTAAATAAATAAATTTCCAAAATTATTAATTGAATCATAAAACATTTAATTAAAATAGTCTTGGCTTTTATTTAGGCCTTTAATAACGACCCCAAAACATTTTTGAACAATGATTAGCATATTATATTAAGTATAATTGGGTGATTAAAAATGTAATAAATAGCAATTTAGTCCTTAAATTGAACTTGCTGCCTGGATTACAAAGTTATTACAGTTCATGGGACTTAGATTGTTTTCCACTGGTTTTCATCCATGTATATTCTCAGAAAAACACAACATAGCTGATGTAATAGTTTCAATATCCTGATGCAGTTCCTCAAAGATATCTCTAAATGCTAATTTAAATTACTTGTCTTGTTAAGTCTTCAGTCCTAAAAACAATTTATCTTTCCCACAAACATGCAATTATTCTTTAAAAATAATTTCGGAGTCTTAATATTCCAAGTCCGATTTCCAATGCTTTCTGAGCCCTTAATTCATTTACAACTTTCTATAGCCAAAACTTTGTCTTGCTTTTTGCTGTTTAAGTTCTTAAAATTTATAAAAATAAATCTTCATACTATTTTATTAAGGATTGAAGCACTCACCAGCTATTTCCAGTCTTGTCACTTTGGAACATTCTGCCCCCGGAGGTGCGAATGGCTCCCTCACTCCTGGCCTTCCAAAGGGCCTTGAAGACCTGGTTCCGCCACTTGGCCTGGGGTGGGGAGGGAATACTTCAAGCAGGGGGATGGCTAGCCCCATAA